CATGTACAGGTAGGTCCAATGAAGCTCAGACTCACTGCTGAAGTACATGAAGTTAAAGCATATGTAAATACTGATGCAAAAAGCAGTGTCTTGCAAGACAATTTATTTAACATGTATTGGTACTTTATTTAGATTCAATGTATAAAGCGACTTTGTGCACTTTTCCTACATACAGTATTGGGGGGTTTTATGTTCTTTTGTTATGGGTTTTGTGCTGTCTTTTTTTTAATCAGTGAAATTGTTAAGTATTTAATTTATTATTGATGTGCCCAGAGGACTAGTGCAATTTTTATTCAATACAGTTTGTCTGTATTTAACGTCAGGATTTTTTTGTAGCAGTGTTAGGGAATATTTTTCAAATCCTGCCTATTTTCCCTACCATTTTCCTTTCTCCCCAACCCCCCCTTTCTCTTCTATTTTCATTACACAGATGGTGAGGCATTCAATGCCTCTAGTTTGTAATATAACCAAACACTTCAGTACGTCCTGCGGTTTCTAAAACAAACAAAAAAGGTTCTCCAGGAAAATAATGTTAAGGAGGCACTTCTCAATGTTTTCTGTGTTTATTTGCTTTCTTGGATTGGGGTGTGTGTGTGTGTGTGTGCGTGTGCCTGGATGCATGGAGTGGGAAAGCTGTACAAAACAAGTTTGTTTTCAGCAAAACGAGCGGCCAGCCAGGCTCAAGGGAAGGTCAGACATGAACACTCATCTTCTTTCAGTTCAAGTACAGCTGTATTGGTGTTGTACAATCACGTTTGAAATATTTCATGCCAAAAAACGACTCTTCTCGTTCTTCCTTTAATCTCGAAGAGTGCGTTCAGTATCTCTGTGACAGTGATTTGCACCCACGCTTAACATGAGAAGCTTTGCCTTTGTCTAGAAAGCAACATGCCAGGCGTTCTCCAAACACAGACGGACTGAAACCTGCAGATTCTGTCATCTCCTGGGGTTTTGAATATTTATATACCTGTACCAGCTTTTGAGTTGACCCAAACCTTGGAACCAGGTGTCCGGAAGCATAACCTAGGTTTCAATTTGAGGGGTCTGGCATATCACCCATTCCACGTGGGACAACTTCAAGTTGCTGGCAAGTTGAGATGATCCCCCTTGTGATCCATGTGTCATCTGGGCTTGCCTCAGGTGTTTTTGATATCACGGTCTCTGCAATATGCAGTTCCTTCGAGCAGTCTCAAGGCAAAACACGAACAGGAAGCACTGATGTTCTTAAAGGAGAAAAGATTTGGCAAGCTGAGACTGCCATCAGCGTAAAACAGATCAGTAACAGCTCAGCATAGCCCCAAGGGGCTCTTATTATGCAAAAGTACAACAGGACCTCCTAAAGTGATGCACTGACATGTGGCTGTCCAGTGGCCTAACACAGCTATCAGCTGCTGGGCTGCCTTTGTCCCACCTCCCGCTCCCTGCCCGAGCATTATTGCTTTCAACCAAAGACAAACCAGAATGAACGGCTTCAATGTGATATTTAAACCACAGGATTGCTGAGGGCAAACGTCTGTGTGTGTGTGTGTGTGTGTGTGTGTGTGTGAGAGCATTTGGTGCTGTTAGGTGGAGAAGAGGTGGGGAAGGAGGGACCGAGCAGGAGAAAGGAGAGTGGGAGGTTGTAAGAACGCTTTGTTTTGAGATTCCAAACTGTAGAGTGCTGCTTCCATAGGATGATGATTCGTATCGCAGTCTGCCTGCGGGTTCCTCTGCCTTGGAAGGGAGCTGGGCTGAGATGCAGCCTTTGGGAGCTGTACAGCCAGCATTAGTGGGAAGACAGAATGGTTATGGAGAGCAAGCAAGGGGTGGAGGTGGGGTAGGAGCACACGAGCGTTGGTGTGGATTCCCCATCCTGGAGGAAGGCAGGCAAGCTCAGCTGGCCTCTTGGTGGCCAAATCTCCTTCTGAGCCTAAAGCCTTCACTCCAGGGCTGGCGCCTGCTGTAAATACACATCACCTGTTAACCCCTCACCTGCCTGCTGCCAGTAACACTTTGGACCACGTTTTTTAATCCCCCCCCCCCTCTTCTTCCACACAGCCTGTACCGACTGTAACTATGGAACCAGATATTCTGTATGTTATTATCTTTGTACCATTTTAAAGCTGTTGCTGTGATGTCTGCCTTTTTTTCCTCCTTTTTCTTCTTCTGTCTCTTGAAACACTGTTAATAAAAACCTAGATGAACTCCTCCCCTCCTCTTTCTCTGGCTTTATTTATTCACCTGGGTTTTCTTGCCTTGTTGCCTGCATTAACTGGATCTGAAACGCCATCTGTCCCCTTTTAACCTGTTTTACTTTTCCTGCGACCCACAGCTTCGATCTGTTGGCAGTGAAGCAAATGCTACGTGAACCACTGTACCCTCAGGGCTCCTCACTCTGCTCCCAGAGCTCCTCAGTGTGAAAGGCCCAAAGCCTTAAATCCTGGAAAAAAAAGAGTAAGAATTTCAAACCCTAAAAAAAAAAAAAAAAGCCTGAAAACCCGAACTTCTCTCTCCATTCACCACCATGGCTGACTCGACTGGATAACGCCACACACAACATGGCCGTCCGGAAGTAATGGGTAGCCACGCCCAACATGGCCGCTACAAAACAACAGATCCCCACACTCAACGTAGCCACTCGGAACTAACAAACCGCCACACCCAACATGGCCGCCAGGAAATCCGGCGGCGCGGGAGCTCCCAGCATGCTTTGCGGCACGGCTCTCCGTGGCACCGCAGTGGGGTCGTGCCTGTAGTAACGCAAGGCGTCCAGCAGGGGGCAGCAGAGGGCGCGGGAGCACCCCAGGTCACGCCCGCAAGGACCTTTAGACTCCAGGTTGCCCTTGGCCGCCCTAAAAGCTTTCAGTGATCCTCGCAGCCTCCCCATGAAGTCTTGGGGACAGCAACGTACGCCCAGAGCTTGTCTGCTCTCCCTTGGGCGCCCACGAGCCCTCCCAGGATGCCTGCACTGTACCACGGAGCACCCTAGAGCGCTCCCTGAGCTCCTCAGTGTGATCTAAGATGCCCCAGAGGCTTCCCAGAATGGCCTTGAGGCATTCCATCACCCCTCATTGTACTCTAGGGCACCCCAGTGACTTCCCAGTGCTTTCCAGTGTGCCCTGGGGATCCCTAGAAGCCCCCAAGGACCACTCAGTGTACTCTAGGGCATCCTAGTTGGCTCCCAGAGCTCATCAGTGTGCTTCAGGATGGTGACAGGCTCACATCACCCCTCAGTTCGTATCCCTTCAGAGCCCCCTGATCTATTATGCTCTGTTACAAGCTCTCTGCTGATGGCTGCCCTGTGCAAGGAGCCCCTGTGCTCCACGGGAACTGTCAGCATCCTGCAGGCATATCTTCCATCGCCCCATATCACAGTGCCATTAAGCACTCATGCTGAGCGCCCACAGCCGTGCAGCTCTCAGCTTTGGGTCTGCCCTCTCAATTGCTTCCCAGGACAAGTAAAGGGCTCAGGGTCTCTGTGGGAGCCTCGAGGCAGCTGCACCTCTGCGGCTGAATACCTGGGATCTTTCCCTTATCTCTTCCCCGGTGGCTACGTGGGTTCATCTTCAGGTGAAAATGAGCTCAGTCTGCAGCAGAAGTTGTCCTGGAACACCAAGCATTGAATGTACAGCACAGAGGGGATGCGGGTGCCTAATTATCTCTGGAATTACAGCGTAATTCTGAAACCTTTCCTGCACTGAGGGAGGTTTTGTCCCAGAGCGGCGGCCGAACCCTTTGCCTTCAGCAGGCAGCCCAGGGGTGACATCACAGCACCAAGGTATGACCCTAAAGAAGAATCTGCACGGCTGATTATTGCTCAACTGCAGCAGACGATGGGAATGTTCTGTCATACAGAGGCAGCTGCTAATCTGGCCCACGCCCTCTGAGAAGGTTGCTCCAAGCTGCCTTCGGGCTGGAGGCTGCTGCTCTTGCTTCTGCTACCTCCGAACCACTGTTTGATTCTATGAAAGGCAGCCTAAGCAGATGGGAAGCAGATTTGCCTCCCATCTTGAACCCCACAGCCTTGGCTGCGCTGGCCTTGTGGCTCATCACCCTTCCTTCCCACTCACGCAGTGTGTGCAGCTCCTTTCTGCCTTGCAACACCGTTTGTTCTGCGACTGCACGTGCACAGCTCAAGCTGACAGATCCCTGCCCTGCGTTGTTGCCACATCCCTCTTGCTCCAAGGCTGACGTCCAGGCAACGCAATCCCATGCCCTGTTCTCCCTCATCCCCAAACTGACTTTTCCAGAGCCCCCAAAAACAGAAGGAAGCATTTGTTTCCCTTCCAAGTGACTCTATGGTAATAAACACAAATATAGGATGGAAGCAAAACAAAATCAAACTCAATTTGCAGCCATGGTCTGTGCTCAGAGCGTTTTATTATTACAAAAATAAGTTAGAAAACAAAGCTCAGCGCTTTCTTCACAATTCTTCTGCAGAAAATCATAACAATTGTAACGGAGTAAAACCTACCATCAAAAATAAATATTTATGTACACGTAAGTTACTGTCAAATATTAACATTGAAACATCCCTACAAATCGGCTGCACTAAAAACGCAGCGCTGTTTTAATCTCGGTAGCTCAGACTCTTCTTCTGTGGCAGAAAAAATTGATCAGCCCTATTTCTTCCCGTTCGTCTCCCCTGAGACAGCGAGTCCCACTTGAAATAATCCAGGCTGAAGCATTCTGTGCGTGGTCCTCTATGTGCAATGGTGGTCAGCAAAGGACAGAGCTGTGATCGGAGCAGCCTATGGCAAATTGTCATCCCTGACAATGGGGATCGTGCACTCCTTTGCCCCTGTTGGACCTCCCCCCATCAACAGTAGGCTGACTTTTCTTTCAAGTGTATATGAAATGCAGATGGGCCTGTCCGACACCACAGGGTGGTTTCCTTGCAAGGGTTTAAAAGTTAAAAGCCGTGAATGGGCTTTTAGGAGGTCAGGAGGACTGCATACGGTGCTCACCTCCCTGGATGTTCATCAGGAACAGAGGGACACAGTATGATTCCTGTGCTCAGGATGCAGCCCTTCTGATGGCTCTGTGCTGAACACACGCTCTTAGAGACTTCGTTCTCCTTCCAGACAGCTGCCCTTCATGTACCTGAAGCCATTCAGCACCACCTCTGGGCAGAGCTCTGGTATTGCCTTGCTGGAGAGCTGGGCAGGATGTGGGTCACTGCTGCTGGCTGTGGCCATAGGCACTCCTGAAGCAGAGCCTTTTCCAGCCTCCTGCACGACACGGTAGCTTTCTAGGGTCAGGCTCACACTAGGGATGGAGGGGGCACGAGCTACCTTTAGTGTCTTTGATCTGAACCTTTGGTAGCAGAAGAGGAGAGACAACACCAATGTATCTATGAGCAGCTCTAACATTTCAACTACAGACAGCACCGAGGATCCAAACCACAGACTCCATTGGCTTCCCATGCTGGACAGAAGCAGATTATCCTGTGGAACAAATCAAAGCACTGTGTTTACCAAGCACAGAATCAGTGCACACTACCAGCAGGTCAGTTATCTGTCATCTGGGAACTAATTGCGTGTGTCTGTGTAAACTATGGCATTTAGAAGCCAATCCCTAAGGAAGAATAATTCCAGCCCACACTGGGGGACAGCCCTCCCTCTGACCACACACAGCACTCTGTAATTAATGAGAGCTGATCTACAGCAACCTTACCGAGAGCAAAGGAGACTCATTCAGAGACTGGTAGTTCAGCTGCTTGTAGTAGATGGTCACCTTGGCAATGTCCTTCCTGCATTGGAGAAAAGGAGCAGTCAGGAAGGTGCCCACATGTCCTACACCTGAAGGAAGGCTCTGCTGGCCTTCTTCTCTTGATTTCACACTCTGATTGCTCAGCAGCAGGGCCCCCCATTCACTCAAGTTTTCCTCCTGAGTGCATTTAATACAAGCTTGGAAAATCAAGTCAGAAAAGGGCTGCAGGAAAGATGGGGTGTTTTTTGCGTGACCGTGTATATTTTTCTCTTTTGATCCATTTTTAGTGCAACATCTACAAGTTCTACAAAGACAAAGTCAATCCATAGTTCAAGAGCTGTATTTTTTCTTGGTAACTAACCTGTTGCTCGTAGAATTATATCCATTCTGATGCCTGAGAGCTTGGCGGATCCAGTCCTGCAGCACATACATGCATGTTAGTGACAACCCTGACTTTGGGTTTAATATTTTATAAAGGTCATCTCTTGACTCACAGAGCTTCCATTGCAGGACCTCAGACACAGTGACATGTGAGTTACTGCACCACAGCACCCGCTGGAAGCAGAAAGTTATTAAAGCCATTTTGTAGGTGGGAGCTCAGGCAGTGGCTTGCATTGTTTTGGGTCACAAGGAGGTTTGGATTAGAGCTGGAACAGAATGTGCCTCTCCAGAATCTCAGTCTGGCATCTCAGCTATGGAGTCCTTCCCCTGTGCTCAGGTTTGGGACCAATTTGCTTTATTTGCCTGTTTCATTGCTGTTGCCTTAGTCTTTGTTTTTATTTTCAATGTTCCCATAGCTACATGGATACAATTCCACCTCTAAACCCCACAGTTGGCTGCCTGGACTACCTGAGACTTCTCCGATGGCCATTTGGCTGTCCCAGCAGACACCTTGTACAGCGACTCCCTGTTAGGACAAAAATGGAGACTGCAATCACTGTGACTCTGGGCATAGTGTTCAGAAACAAGACACATCCCTGCTCACTGCAGGGGAGTTGGACTAGATGACCTTTAAGGGTTCTTTCCAACTCGAGCCACTCCATGATTCTATGATACTTTGCTTTCAAAGCCTCTCCCATCTTGAAAGCTGGCATTGATCGTGCCCTACTTCCATGACCTACCTGCAAGGCTTGGGGCACTGGTCAAAGCAATTCAGGTGGTGATTCCTGAGCCTGCTGTACAGCTGGTAAAAGCAGTGCCCTGGTGGAAGAGAAACGCACTCAGGGAATGGAAAGTGAGCAAATGGAACACTCCCCAAACCTCTGCCCAATCTTCATCAGCCCAGACTCACAGCATCCCCTCAGACAGATCCTGCCTTAAGGACATGGTGATGCTTGATAGCATCACAATTTCTCATGCTCCAACTTGATATCAGTGCAAACACGCAGACAGGCAGACATCTGCCAGTCTGGATGGATTCAGTGGTGTGAGCAAACAGGCTGAAGCACAAAGCAGAAGGGCAGCAATCAAAGGAGGCACACATATAGCCAGTGTCTGTTCTGGGAAGGTGCTCCCTGCTGAGGGGGACAGGACAGCATGTTTTCCCTTACCCCACGCAGGCTGCTTGTTGTAGTTGCAGTACTCAGCCCCAGGAGGCAGTGGGTAGTAGTAATACCCACAGCCACATTTTTGAACCATTATGTGCTGAAAGCAGGAATGCAGACAAGCCTGGAAAAGATAAGGCACAAAAGAACGGATAAACCATCAGTTCTCCACTGCTCAGATCTTTAGTAAAAGCTCTCTGGAGAGTAAGGTATGAATTGTTTGCTGAATACATGGGGACCTTGGCCAGCCACAATGACAATACCTGCAGGGTGTAGGAGTTGTAGAGGAGTTTAACTTTCACATCACTGCCGTCTGTTGTGCATTTCCCATAATTGCCACCCAGGCGATTCACCTTGTCCTGTGGACACAGAAGAAAGGCCTGAGTGATTAGCAGCTTTAATTGATGGCCCTAGCCATTGTCATCTAAACTTGTCGGGATGGAGCACCACGTAAAGGACATCAGAAGGAAGAGACAGCTCTCAAGCCAGCAGCCAACCTGCTGGATGCCAATGGTGGTGGCAATGCCTGGTCGGATGTCAAAGCCTTCATGCTCGAGGAATGGTGTCTGGTTGTGGTTGTGTATCATCACTTTCACACCTGCTACTGTAGACAGGAGTGGGATGTGATCCTTCTGCTCTGCTCTCAGGATAAGGGAAAGTCCTGCAAGACAAAGAAGAGGGAAGCTTAACGCAACTTATTTGGGGTCAAAATAGGAATGTCATCGTGCCTTGAATTCTCAGCACGGATGGAAGTGCTCTCCTAGCTCACAGAAGAGGTACTGGTGTTCCTTAAACACCTGGGGGATGGTCAGGTAACTATTGCACGTCTTCTTCCCACCCTTTGCCAAATAACATACCATAAGGAATTCCTGGTTTTGTTGCTGTCCAGAAGGAGTCTGTTCCTTCGCTGTTAAAAGTATAGCAGCTTCCAAAGACTGGGTGGTGAAAGTGAACATAGTCACTGAAACAAAGAGAGATTCCAGTCAGCTTTGCACTATGTCAGATGGAGGCTCAGTTTCAGACTCCCAAGCCCTTGAGTTTTGCTGAGATCTTCATCAGTATCTGAGGCAGCAGAGTACCTGGGCCTGCAGGGCTCCCCATCGTACTGACAGGAGTAGACCATGTCTTCTATCTTCTCCTCGTGATCAGAAATGTTGACTATAACCGGCTGCTGGGACATGATGTTCATGTAGTGAAACCTGTACCACTCAAGGATTGCATCCATCCCAGATGAATAGGTCTTGTAGAAGCAATTCCCACCTGTGGCATTGCACTGAGAGAGAAGAAGAGAGGAAGGCATTCAGCACAGCTATGATCCTATGATGCTATGATTCTTTCCTTGCTCAGGTGGGGCCCTAGCTCCATGGGGACAGGTTAGCATCCCCAAAAGGACCCACACTTACCAGTCTGAAGCCCACAAGAGACTGTCTCTTTCCTGTCCTATTATTGAACTCAGTTGTTCTCAGTAGAGAGAAGTTTGGGCTCAGTTTGAAGCTGGATCTGTTGTGATTGCCTGCGCTTGGCAAGTCTCTCATGTGGATGCTCTTCTCGTTGACATGGAATAAGCTGGCAGACGTGTTGATGCCATACAGAACACTAACAGATTTCTCTGCCATGCGATCCAACTGAACCAAGTGCTCGCTAACCAGATCAAATCTGTAAGGGCAAGAGATATCGGCTTGTCGTGAATATCCACGTGTCTCTTAGGCAAACCAGCTGCACAAACAGGCCTTCCTGACAGCCAATTATATAATTATTTTGAGGAAATTACATAATTCCCTCACCATGTAATTTAAAACCCCTTGATAAGTCACCACAACTGTGTGAGCTGTGTTTGGCGAGCACAGTCACACAGGCTTCAATGGAAGTTTTATTGCTTCCTCCAAGCCATTTGCCTGAACAAACGAGCGGGCAGAATCTTAGCATGCATCACTCCAGTGTGCTGTGCTTGAGCTGTGGACAAATGCATGCAGTAGCTGTGTGTTTTGGGGATAGGCTGTTTTTATCAGAGCACAAAATCAGGGAGCACTCAAAGCAGGCAGCAAGGCAGAGTTCTGATCCTGAACCAGTGCATGAGATAAACTGTTGCACAGTTACAAACAAGATCTGGTCTGAAAACCAGTTCGTAAATAGAACGGTGGAATCGAATCCCAGAATGGCTTAAGTTAGAGGGGGATCATTGAGCTTCAGCCCCCTGCCATGGGCAGGGCTGCCAACCAGCAGATCAGGCTGCTCAGGGCCCCGTCCAACCTGGCTTCGAACAACAGTCCTTCTCCATCTCATGAGCTCTTCCTACTGCCCACCCAAATCATCAACCTTCAACCTTCTCCAGATTCAGTCTGCTGCGACCATCTCTGGGCCCTTGTAGCAAAGGACAGGGCTGCAGCCGAGGGGAAGCTCGGGTTACCTGTATGGATCCAGATTGCAGATGGTAATTGCTGGAAACATCTTGGCCTCCGAATGCATCGACATGGTGAGGACAACAGGGTAGGCCCAGTATTGGCTGAACATGAGTGCAAATTGCCAGTACAGCATGCCAAAACTGGCAAGAAAGAGCAGCGTCCAGAAAGCTGTCTTCATCTTATTGCTGCTGGAGCACACGAGGCGGATGGTGCCGTGGATGGTGGTGTTCTTACAGAAGAACTCAAACATGTCTTTGAAGGAATCATAGAACTCTATCAAGCCTTCTTTTCTCTCTTCCTCCTCTCTTGCAGCTTCCTGCTCCATCCTTTAAGTCTGCTTCTGTTCAACAAAAAGGGAAGAAAAAAAAACCCAAAAACCCAGAGTTTGGACAGCAGAGAGCAGAAAAGAAACCGAATGTTCTGCGTGCCACTGCCTGAGTGACTTCAGGTGTTTGTATCACTCACCCTATGACATCTCTGTTAGTGTGGATATGCAAAGTCAATGTGACTAAGCCCCACGCTGCTGAGAAGTCTGCAGCCCAAGGGGTGTGCAGCTTCCTTCTTTCTAAGAACACCCAAGGACCAGCACTTAGTTCTGAAGTGTTGTACCACCGTCTATCGATACTGTTCATTAACTAGTTCATTAACGTGAGCAAATTGCAGGTGGAACCCACTGGGCTGGGAAACCTGAAACAGCCTCTTAACCAGCAGCAGGGCTCCAATCTTGTGCCAGGGAATCAACGAGTGAGACCAACTTCAGTGTGTATGGAAGGGACAAACTGGGTTCTGAACTTTCTCATGGTCTCGTGTTCTGCAGAATGGAAGATTCACATCTGCCATCTCTGAAATGCACCACGGGCATAGAAATACAGGCAGACATAATTAGGAATTTGGGAAAAGAAGTGGAGAATTCCACCACCTCAGCTGAAACCACAGAGGGGATGAACCAAACTGGGAGGTGGATTAAGCACTGCAGGCCCTATTTAAAATGAAATGCCTTTGGGTTGGTTCTGGAGACCACAGTTACATGAATCGCTGCTATTAGAAATTCTACCACGTATCTTTTACATAAATGGTTTCCTCCAAGCACCTACAAATCTTTTGATGAATGTTTGTTTTACTGAAGCGAAAAGGAAGAACCGAGATTGAGCATCGTCCAAGGGTGGCAAAACTGGAAGTCAGAATCCACCTCTCCTTCGTCATGGTAACTGAACAGGCTGCTCTGCTCCTCTAAATTACCCCTGAATTGTGCTGATGGAAACGTGAATATTATTTATGCTCTGCTTTAGTCAGCACGGACTGATGGCATCTTCCTACGTTTCAGTATCAGCTGTCACGTTCAGTAAGTGGAAATATGCCATCAAGTCCTGCAATATCTGAGTTTCCAACATGACAGCTCTCTGTGAATCACCGTGACTATTACACTATTAGGAGAAATTTGCTGAGTGCAACACCTCACTCCAACCTTAACTCCAAGTATAATACAGTAACAGTGTTTGAAGCCAAGAAATGAGTGCACAAATAACTAAAGCATTGTTCAAGTGAACAACCAGGGAGAGTACCTCAGTTCAGCTGGCCCATGAACTGTCCTCCAGTGCCTTCCCCCTCAGCTCGACCTCCCTATGCTGAAACGTGGCTTTATCTCAAAGAATCAGAATGCTCCAAGAGTATCTGAAGTACATACTTGATAGATCTTAAGGAATTGCAAGCTGTTAAGACAGTTTTTTCATTGTACCTTTTCACATCATTCGTTAAGAACAATTCTTAAAGAGTGCATAGTGCTCCACAAAGCCGTATGTTGGATCGACTTTATGACAATTAACTACTTTATCTGACAAGGAAACCCAGCCTGGTGCTGGCTATTTTCCTCAAAGACCATAGCACATCCACGTTTCTGTTTTGAGGCATCATTTAACAGTAGCACAAAACTAACTCAAGGCCCCCTGCAGCTCCTATTTACTTCTATAATTAAACATGACAAATGCTTTTTTAATATTTTTTCTTAAAATAGTTAATTTGCAACAAGTACAGCAAGTCCAAATAGAGTGGAATATATATTAAATAGAAAGCATGACGTGAAAAAGACCTGAAGTAGGAGATGAGCAGTTCCACTTTCTCTACAAGAAATATTGTGCTGAAATAGTTAAACATACATAAATCATAGAATCATTGGATGACTTGGGTTGGAAGGCACCTCAAGAATCACCAAGTTCCAGCCTCCAGACCACACAGAGCCACAGTTTTCTGAGGCACTGGCTACGGATTCACTTGGCCAGCCTGAAGGCTTCCAACTGAGTGCTTTGGTCAAAAGGATTATCCATGGCAAACTGGAAATGAGTCCCCAGATAACACATTTTTGGTTAGATTTTATGCTAAGCTACATTCAACCCTCACCTTACGCAGTGTTACTCAACTCATACGTTGAATGAGTTCCTTAAATGCTGGAAATGAAAACTGCAAGACCTAAATGGGAAGAGGCAGTAGGGCAACGCAGGATAGCAGGGAGCTTTTCAGAACACGTACAGGCAATCCCTTCTCATCCATCTCCCTGGTCAGCCTGTCCCTAATTCACTTATCACAGACTTAGAGCAGTGAGCAGTGGCCCATCTCGTTGGTGATAGATGCTTGGAGAGAGGCTGCAGGTTATAGAACCATAGAATCATAGAACCATAGAATCATAGAACCATAGAATCATAGAATCACAGAATCATTGAACCATTGAATCATAGCATGGCTTGGGTTGGAAGGGATCTCAAAGACCATCAAATTCCAATCCCCAAACAGGTGTACGCTCATCTATCATCACAGCAACTTCACCCTCAACATGTTAAACACCTGAGCAAGGGCACAAACATCATGCAGGCAAATATTGAAGCATGTGTGTATAGACCTAGAGCTACAGATCAGTTGTACATAGATCCAGAAACACAGCAAAACAACAAAGACCAAATTGCAAACCACCCCTACTGTACCTTAGCAGAAACTTTGAGTGTTCAGAGCAGGCACTGAGCTCAGCCTTCAGCTCTGGACAGAAGAAAATCTTGATGCCACACTTTGGGGCTGCCTGTCCTTACTGGAGATAGGCTAGAGCTCTCCAGCCTATATGGATCAAATTGATGACATCAAAAGGGGCAGGTCTTGTTAAGAAACAAATCATGGAAATTATTCAAAGTATGATCCAAGGAATAATAGGAAGTGAATGAACTGGACAAACAAGTTAACATGAAGGTTACACTTGGGTTAAGATAGGTTTGACTGAGGGGAAGGGGTGTTCCTTTTTATTTTCAATGGCCTCAACAGGCTTTTAACTGTATTTCATAAATACCTAGTGAGTTAGCCATGGATCCTGGAAGTTTCTTCCTGCTCTGAGCTTCCCTATCACAGAATTAGCTTTCTGCCTTCTCTCCATGGTTTCCATGACTTGCACGATCACTGGTAATTGAAGCCATTAAGGTTTCCACACGTGTGCTTCAGGAATTACATACTTTGTTGTAATCTGAAATGATCAACTACTTGGTCAGTGCAAGGTACACACAGCAGTGGATTTCTTCCTGCTTCTCCAAAACTATTGCTCATCTGCAGTGGATTTTCCCATAGCCATTAACAATTTGGCTCATCAGACTGTGGGGCTTGAATGGGTTCAATCTGAGCTATCAATCATGATTTAAACCAGGGCATCCTGCATTTGTTACATTGCTCGAGAAGCTTCTTACAACATGATAGATCTTTTCCAACCTGGATGATTCCATGATTCTATGAAATTTTAAATTAAAAAATAAAAATCCATTTGGCTCCTGAATCAACAGCTACAGCAGAGCCACGTGTCACTAATGGGCAAAGCAGTCAAATTCTCATTAGAAACCTCAGAACACTGAAAACCTGATTCTGTCGTGTTCATTTATTTGTCCCCCGCCCTTCTTTCTCTCTCCATTTGATATTGTGCAATAGCAAATGACAACAATAAAGCCTTGACAATGAAATTGTTGCACAATGAACACTCACACGGCAAATTCTGTTGCTTCATTATGACTGCGGGCCTCAGTGCAGAGATTGGCTCAGAAAGCATTGTTCTGATGTGTTGCCAGACAGCCAGGAGATTTTCCTGTGGGAAATGGAGAAGAACTGGATATGCAGACAGTGCTTTCCCCCAAGCAAGATGCCATCTCTGTTGGCCCTTGCTCATTTGTCATCCCATGTCCTGAGCTGGGAGAAGAAGGGAGGAAAACTCTTTGGCTTGCTACAGATTGGTGTTATAGATTCTGCAAATAACAGAATGACCTTTTGTGCTGCAGGAAAGGACTCTACACTGGCTTTCATTGCTGTGGTTGATAAGACGATTCTCTCCCACCTGATAGATTGCTGAAAACAGGAATGAAAGTGATTCAGCACTCAGAACAAACCTTGGTATACCTTTGTATATGCATGTATCTCATATCAGCACCAGTTCAGTGTGACACAGAAGGTACAAAACCTCCTGCAGGCAGAGAGCAGAGACTGCAGCTATTGCACATGGCAGTTATTCCAGGAATTATTCCCCCTTAGGCACCCAAGGATACCCATGATAGAATGCAACACTGAACTGTATGCTGATCAGGGGGAACCCAAATTGAAGAAGGAAACCCAACCCCCTGCTCCCAGCAGTTCTCCTTGCAGCACATCACGCCATAATTTGCTGCCCACTAACTGCACCAACTGTCTTTCAGTTATTAACTTTCTTCCTTGTTGCATTTGTTTGATGTTATTGCACGCTCTCACACTTGTCCTATTACTTTCCATCCTTAGTCCTGACCATGCCTGTATCTTCCAGAGGTTCCTGTTCCTCCAGCAGCCTTCATACGTCTAATGTTAATCTTGACTCTTAGAAAATCAGGCTTTACTCACGTCACTTGGTCCTGGGTGGATGGAGCTGGTTCTCCTGGACTGCTCCAGGCACTCCCCAAGCCATCTTCCCACACTACCCCTCAATGCAGAGGATGCTGCATCCCAACCCAGCTTTCCCCACTCTGGCATTGGCGTGATTTGCCTCCTCCTGCTTGGTGGGAACTCCCTCACAGGGCTTTCTTTATGGCCACTGGACAAGCCAGTCTATTCCTCCTCCCACTCAAAGGCAGACAGACTCCTGTGGGTGAGTACAGAAATAGGCAACTCCCAGCACTTCTCCTTGTGTGCCATGGTTGGCTGTGCTGTATGGGCTCGAGCTGGCTCTGCCAGGCTCTGCCTTTTCTGTCTCTTGTCACTCAGACCCACTTTGCCTTCCTTCAAAGCAGGGCACAAAACTGCTTTCTGCTCTCCATGGTTGTACCCACGCGACACTGGGAGATGTGG